TCCTAGTTTGCTTATTCTTTACATTTTGTTGTTTCTTTTTGTTTTTGAGTCACACCTGGCTCTGTACTGAGGAATTACTACTGATGGTACTTAGGAAACCATATGGGATGCTGAGGTTCAAACACAGGTTGGGTGCATGCAAGGCATGCACCTTAAACACTGTATTATCTCTCTTGCCCTTGAGTTTTGTTTTGATATTTTTGAACAGGGACCACACACAGTGGGACTTGTTGGTTCAGGGTTCAGACATTTTTTTCTATTTTCCGCAGTGCTTGGTCTGTAATGTGGGAGTCTGAAGCTCCAATGCTTTTATTTTATTTATTCAGTGGGCTTTAAGGCCATCAGAGCAATAGCCAGCAGTGATAGAGAAAAGTGGTCTGTGGGGCTGGGAATCAAATTCAAGGCACTATACATGCTAGGAAGTTGTCTGCTACTTAAACAATCCTCCTGCTCCTTCCTTCCATATGTAGCAATTGTGTCCTTTAAGTACCAGCTCGATATTTAGAATATTTAGTTCTAGCAACATTTTCAGTGCTCTGAATCATCATATTCTATGCTAGGATAATTTTCATGCTTTTACACATTACAGTGATTGCCTCTCTACTAGTTTCTTATTTCCCTGCGCAGTTTTTATTTAGAGAGCATGATTTAATAATAGAGCTTCATACACACAGTGTCCCAACTCCACAGTCAGCACCAGTATCAACATACTTTCAGCAAAGTCTCAAGATCCCCTCACATCCACCCCCACTCCACCCACTTGGCAAACTCATTTTATTTTCTCAAATATCTTCATTATTATAATCTGAGTCATGTATTCGTAAGCATTGGTGCTCATAGCATTGATTCTTTTTTTTTATTAGTGAAACACCATGAGGTACAATTTTTGTGCTTGGGTTTTGGTTATATAATAATCAAATACCCATCCCTCCACCAGTGCCCATTTTCCACCACCATGGATAACATCTCTCCCCCCCATACCCCCCATCCCACCCTGCCTCTGCGGCAGGGCATTCCCTTTTGTTCTCTCTCTCCTTTTGGGTGTTGTGGTTTGCAAAAGAGGCATTGAGTGGCAAATATGTTCAGTCCATAGTCTACTTTCAACATGAATATCACCTCCTGGGAGGATCCTCCAAACACCCTTTATTTGGTGCTCCCTTCTCTATCTGAACTGCCCTTTCCCCTAGAATACCCGGCTGGCCTCTAAGCTATGGAGTAATCCTCCTGGTGTTGATCTCAGCTATTTTTGGGTATTAATCTTGTATTTTGTTACTTTATATCCCCCAGACGAATGCAATCTTTCTATGTCTATCCCTCTCTTTCTGACTCATTTCACTTAGCATGATACTTTCCATATTGTACCACTTGTATGTAAATTTCATGACTTCATCTTTTCTAAGAGCTACATAGTACTCCATTGTGTAGATGTACCAAAGTTTCTTTAACCAGTCATCTGTTCTTGGGCACTCAGGTTTCTTCCAGTTTCTGGCTATTGTAAAGAGTGCTGCAATGAACAAACAAATGCAGATGTCACTTAGACTATACGTTTTCGCCTCTCTGGGATATATTCCCAGGAGTGGTATTGATGGGTCATATGGGAGCTCAATTTCTAATTTTTGGAGAAACGTCCGTACTGTTTCCCAAAAGGGCTGAACTCGTTGGCATTCCCACCAACAGTGAAGGAGTGTTCCTTTCTCGCCACATCCGCCCCAGCATCGGTTGCTTTTGTTCTTTTGAATGTGGGCCAGTCTCTGAGGTGTGAGGTGGTATCTCATTGTGGTTTTGATCTGCATCTCCCTGATGATTAATGATGTAGAGCATTTTCTCATGTGCTTTTTTGTCATTCGGATTTCATCTTTGAGAAAGTTTCTGTTCATTTCATTGCCCCATTTTTGGATGGGGTTGGATGTTTTCTTCTTGTGGAGTTCAACCAGTACTTTGTATATCCTTGATATCAACCCCTTGTCAGATGTGTATTCGGTGAATATCCTTTCCCATTCTATAGACTGTCTTTGTATTTTGGTCACTGTTTCTTTGGAGGTGCAGAAGCTTCTTAGTTTAAGATAGTCCCATTTATCTATCTCTGTTTTCACTTGCCCGGCCAGTGGGGTGGCATCTATGAAAATACCATTAGCCTCAGTGTCATGGAGGACTTTGCCAACTTTGTCTTCAATGTACTTTATGGTGCCTGGTCTGATGTTGAGGTCTTTAATCCATTTTGATCTTACTTTTGTACATGGTGTTAGGCAGAGTTCTTAGCCCATTTTTTTGCATGTAGCCGTCCAGTGAATAGCATTGATTCTTAACACATCATTTTGTATTGGCAATATATTTTTTTTCTATTTTCCCCATTAATTTCAGCAGAAGTCCAAAGAGGTACCTATTTAGGAGAAATTCATGCTAAAATACCTCTGTGCAAACTTACAAAACCCATGAAGGCATCCTTCTTGTATTCCTGATAGCTCCTAAGTTGTAACAGTCGATATTTAGCCTATGAATCAGTGAACTTCAGCTTATTAGAATAAGTTTAGTATACTTGGTCACTGATGCTGTCACAATCATACATGTTTCTGAAAAAAAAAATGCTTCCCTCTCAGAAAGGACTATGTTGGGGAGCTTTGCTTTGACTATAAAGTGTTTCACCTTGAAAGTAAAGGTATATCTGTATGTCTTGAGTAGAAGATCAGAGAAACGTAGGAGAAAGATATGGAGAAGGAACGAGAATGAATTAGTTTGTGACAATTCTTAGCATCCCATTGCTAATTCTTGGCTGATTTTCTCCCTGAAATTAATATTAAAAATTAAATTCCACAGGTGAAACTTTACATGCTAATAAGATATTCAATGCATGTAAAAACATGTTCTGTACACAGCACCTAAACATCCAACTTTCTGCATTACTCTACCTCTACAAAGCTTACATATACTCCTTTTCCACCCATGGGCCTCTACAGACCTTTTCTGACCATTGTTCAGAGAACCAGCAAAAACACATTGTCCTGTGCTATTTCTCTTATGCTCTTGAGCAAATTATAGAAGCTTCAACAAATGCTCGAATCTCTCCTTGCCTTTATGTCAATATCTACTTATTCTGAAGATCAGGGAACCTCGGGGGCTTATCTCTCCACAGCAGACTTTAAGGACTTACTGCCAATCAAGAACAGCTTTCAGATGTTTAGCTATTTTCTAAAGAATCAAAAGGAGGCAGAGAGAGAGAGGGAGGGAGGAGAGAGAGAGAGAGAGAGAGAGAGAGAGAGAGAGAGAGAGAGAGAGCGTGTGTGTGTGTGTAAAGGGCTGGAGCACCTACTTTGCATGCAGGACCCCCAAGTTTCATCATTCCCAAACTGCATGTTTCCCCAACTATGGCAGGAAGTGACACACTGCCAGATGTGGCACCAAGACCAAAATGAAAAAAAAAAAAAAGAATCTAGGGAGAATAGCATTTAATGATATGTGCAAACTTGTTTGAAGCTCAAGGTTTGTTGTCCACTAATCAAGTCTTATTGGAATATAGCTATGTCCACCTTCTCTGAGCTGCCCATGGCATTGGTCTGGGACAGTCACAGGTGGAGCTGATGGTGCTAAGGAAAACTGCCTGGTCTCCTGCTGGCATCTCAGCCACTACAACTCCCCCCACACACTCCTTCCCCCATGTGTTCCCATGCCACCTGCATTGCTGCAGAGTAACTTTTTATTTGTTTAATTTTATTACTCTTCATCTCGTCAAGCAACAGAGGAGAATAAGGAGCATCAAGTGCTATGAAGTATGGATTGATTGTTCTGTGATGACATCACAGACCTCCAGAGTACAAGGTCCATCAACAATGCCACACTAAGCACGTATTACCACCTTCTCAACTATACACAGAAGAATTAGAAAGCTGGAAACAGTTGAGCTTATAACAGAAAAATGCCTCCCCATACTTTCTACCTAATAAAATAGAGATGATAGACATATAGAGATGGAGGCAGAGATATAAATAGAAACGGAGCTACACCAAAATCACTTTCCAAGAGGCTCATTTGTTAACCAAGCAAACAAATCCATTTACTGGTGTTTAATCATATTACATTAGATTGCACAAGTCAAAAAGACTTTTTTAGATTATTAGATTTTTAAGAATGCTTATTCAAATCATTGAGGTCATCAGGAGACTTCAAGAGTCCATTTAAAAGCAGTCAGAATTATAAAACTGTTAACAACAATTAAGAATGAAAAACAAATCCACTAAATAACATAAGGTTTTAAACAGGACCAAAATATCATAGATAAAGGTTTATATATGAAGAGAAAGATCTAACATTTCCTATTACATTTCATTAAAAATGTAAATCAGCCAGAGAGATAGTACATCTTATAATGCACTGGCCTTGCACATGGCTTTCCTGCATTCTATCCCCAGCAGCTAAGATGGTCTCCTGAGCACTGCCAGGAGTGATCGCTGAGCACAGAACCAAGACTAAGCCTTGATTCAGAACTGCTTGATATGACTCAAATACAAAAAAGAAAAAATGAATTATTCAAAATATATTATATTCTTGTGGTGAAAAAATGCAAACTAAAACTAAACTTATTAAGATGGCAAAAATCCAAGATCTCACATCTCTCTAAGGTGGTGACTGAGGATAAACAAGTCTCCTCTTTCACTGAAGGGCTGTGTGTGTGCATGTGTACACATGTGTGTATTCCACAGCATTTAAATTTTCGGAATTTTCATTTTAACTGATTTGTACAGGATTACTTACTGTAGCAATTATAGTTGCGGGAATTGTAAACAAGCTGAACAACTATTCAAATAGGACTTGTAAGGAGAATTAGTACATAGTACTCCATATTGTGATATGGGAAATTAACATATATAATTATAAAAAAATTGCTAAGCTTCTTATGTACTAAAATGATCAGGCTCCAAAATATACAATTAAGTGTCAAAAGACAAATCAGGGAAGATTTTATAAGGCATGTCTGCAAGAGGGAACAGAATCAAGAAATTTTTTATCATGTTGCTTTTCATCTGTATCAGAACTCATACAGAACAATGAATTCTGGGTTACAAAAGAGAATTAAGTTTTTGCACCTGACTCAAAATCTTTGCCCACAAGTCAGGCCAACACCCTCCTCGGTGATGAGAAAAACATTTTTAAGGTAACAAACATTCGTAAAAGTGAAAATGTTTATGTGTTGATGGCACAGCATATCAAACCACATCCATCAACCAACTTCTCTCCATCACGATTCACAGGATACACTCTGCCTGTGCCCTGCCCCTTGGAGATCTCAGTTCTATAGTCATAGTCCATGAACTCATTTTCACTGAACGTTGTCCTTGCTTTGTTCCTCCATGAACCATCAATGAGTGAAATCAAGAAATGTTTGTTCTTCCTCTGACATGTTTCATTTTACATGACATCCTATGTACTCCATCTGTGCTGTAGCACAGTATACTGGATTTCTTTGTTTCCCCTAATAGTTAGGTAGTATTCTATTGTATGCATAATACACCACAGCTTCTCTTTTTAATTTTTTTGTTTTGGGGTCCATATCCAGCAGTACTCTGGGCTTATTTCTGACTCTGCACTCAGGGGTCACTGCTGGTGGGCTTGATAGAACTTATGGGGTGCTGAAGATCAAACTCAGGTCAGCTGTTTGCAAGGCAAATTCCCTACCTGCTGTACTATCACTCCAGATCCTGTTTTACAATATCTTTATTGTATTTTAAATGATTGTGTTAGTGTATTGTGCAGTGACAGCAAGCAAGAAGATTCCTGTACAGCCACAGTGCCCAAATGATCACCTAGGGGAAAGGGTGGTCTTAGAAGTGTGCCGGAAGTCGGACTGGGAACTATAACCCAGAATCTGCACCAATGACGGGCCCCTCCCCTTACAGGTATGCTGGTGGTGCGGTGGGGCCGGGGGTGGGGGAGGATCATCAGGGAATGACCTTTGGAGCGGCAGCCGCTCAATTTCCCCTTTCATAGTGCATTGGACCTGTATTCCATTCTCCTATACTGAACTCTTACAAGTGCAGCTTTGTTACTACAACCACACTAGGCTAATAGTTCACTAGCCTATTCCAATCAAAATACCCCCCAAAACTCACCAAATTAATGGTGAACACAAGAATTTGTACCAACCTAATCTAAAAGAACACATCCCCCAGATCAGCACTAGAGGCTCCACATAAGACAAACAGGAGCACCAAAGAGGAAGCACTTGAAGAAGAACGAGGAGACAACGATTGACTGAGCTCATCCCGAGTCCTCTCTGGCAGTGGAAGGAGAACACTAATAGTGAACTGGAGGGACCCACCTCCATACTACTACAGCATCATGGGAAAGCAGTGCAGATCCCCACCATGAGGAATGGATGAAGAAAAGGGCCCTGAAAGCCTCAAGAGGGAATACCCACATACCTAATCTCCCTGACAAAGAATTCAGAGATGATGGTGAGAATGTTTATTGAGTTCAAAGAAACAATGGAATGGACATCCAATAAAATATAGGAGGATATGAAAGAAACAGTGGAACGGTCACCCAATAAATTATAGGAAGAAATGAGAGCAGAAATAAGAAAGCTAAAAACAGAAGTGTCACTAATAAAAAATTCAGTAGGTGAAATTAAAAACTCAGAGGTTGCCCTCAATAGTAGAATGACAACAGCCAAAGACAGAATCAGTGACCTTGAAGATGTGCTGCAGAAAGAACACAGTCAACAACAAGCTGTGAAAAAGTCTCAAAGTACCACAAGAGTGAATAAGAGACATACGGGATGAATCCAAGAGGAACAATTTATCAGAAGGACAAGAAGGCAACATCTTGTTGAGAAGAATCATTCATCATTCATCTCAATCATTGCTGAGAAGTTCCCAGAGCTGGAGAATACAGGCATCCAGATAAAGGAAGTCCAAAGGATACTAGCTAAATGAACAAACAACAACAACAACAACAACACTGTCCTCCTTTTATTCATCGATTTGCTCGAGCGTGCCCAGTAACATCTCCATTGTGAGACTAATAAAAATACTCCAAGACATATCATAATCAGAATGATGAATACCATAGATAGAGACACAATACTGCAAGCAGTAAGGTCAAAGAAGGAAACCACATACAAAGGAGAATCCATAGATATACAGCAGACTTAATAGACAAAACTATCCAGGCCTGAAAACAGTGCTGGGATATAGTGAAAACAGTCCATGAAATCAATGCTTCACCAAGAATACTTTATCTGGCTAGACTCATTCAGACTCAAAGGAACAATACAATACTTATGTATAAACAATAGCTCAGGAACTTCATAGACTCAAAATCAACCTTAAAAGAAGGTTGCTTGTAAGGGGCTACTGTTAGACAAGACAAACCCCACAAGCACAACAAACCCCTACAGAAAGATGGCACAAAACTCCTGGACAATGATCTCTCTCAATGTCAGTGGTCTAAATGCACCAATTAAGAGACACAGAGTGGCAAATGGATTTAAAAAATGAATCTAACATTTGAACAGTGAGAGCAAACACAGACTCATAGTCCAAGGATGGAAAATAACCCTTCCATCAAGCAAACAACTCCTTCAAAAAATCCGGGGTTGCCATACTAGTATCCGACAACATAGATTTTAGTCTGAAAAATGATTAGAAGGGACAGTGAAAACCGTATGTTAATAATCAAGGGGTACGTACAACAGGAAAGAAATTACACTCCTAAACATATATGCACCTAATGAGGGGCCAGAAAAATACTTAAAGCAACTGCTAATATACTTCAAGAAAGATATTGGTAGCAACACAATAGTACTTGGAGACTTAAATACTGCCTTTTTATCTCTTGATAGATCAAAGAGACTAAAACTCAGCAAGGAGGTACTGGCCCTGAAGGGAGAAATGGAAGGGTAAGGACTAGTAGATATATACAGGGTTTTTCATCCTCCAAGAGCCGAATACACGTTCTTCTCCAATGCACATGGAACATTTTCCAAGATAGACCATATACTTGGCGACTAAACATACCTCAATCACTTGATCACTTCACATCCCGTTACTCATCAATTTCCTCGAGCAGGCGCCAGTAACACCTCCATTCATCCCTGTCGCGTGCTAGTGTAGCCCAATGGTGTCTGCTCATTCTAGGAACATGAAGAGCCTCAAACCGATCATTCAGGGTCTTGAGGAAGAAGTCTGAACATCTCAGGTGGGCGGCCACACAATCTTTTGACATCCTGTGGAATCCATTCGGTAATGGCTCTAGTCCAGCAGTCATCTCCAAATCTCATTACATGTCCAGCCCATCTGATTTTCGATGCCTTGGCAAATGAGACAGTGCCCCTGATTCTTGACCGGAGTAATTCCTGAGTGCATGAGCCAGGAGTAACCCCTATGCAAAGCCGGGTGTGACCCAAAAAGCAATAAATAAATAATTAAAAATCAAGTTCTTTAATCCATTTTGAGTTATTTTTTATGCATGATATGAGATAATGATGCAATTTCTTCCCCCTTATTTATTTCTCTTTTCCTTCCTTTCTTCTTTCCTGCTTTCTTTCTTTCTCTCCTTTTTCTCTCTATTTATTTTATTATTCCTCTTTCTCCTTTCCTTTCTTCCTTCTTTCTCTCTTTCTCTTTCTTTTTTCCTCTCCCTCATTCTCTCTTTCTTTCTTCCCCTCCCTCATTTTCTCTTTCTTCACCTCCCTCATTCTCTCCCTCTCTCTTTCTCTCTTTCTCTTTCTTTTTTCCTCTCCCTCTTTCTCTCTTTCTTTCTCTTTCTTTCTTTCCCTTGCTTTCTTTATTTTCTCCTTCCCTCCTTCCTTCCCTCCATTCTTCTTTCCTTCCTTCTGTCTTTCTTCCTTTATTTTTTCTTTCCTTTCTTCCTCTCTTCCTTCATTTCTTCCTTTCTCTTTCTTTTCTCTTTCTCTTTCTTTCTTTCTTTCTTTCTTTCTTTCTTTCTTTCTTTCTTCCCTTCTTTCTTCCCTTCTCTTTTCTGTGGTTGGCTTTCTACTTTTCACATTTTATTGAAAAAGATTTCCTTCCTCCACTCTATATTCTTGATTTTTTTAATCATAAATAAACTGTACATATATCTCTGTTTACTTCTGAACTCTCAAATCTGTCTCATCAGTCTGAGTGTCTACTTTTATTCTAGTATCAATTGCTTTGATGATTATAAATTTATGGTGCCATTTAAAGTGGGAGTTTCTAGATTTTTGAGGAATGCCCATACTGTTTTCTAAAATATCTGGATTAGTCGGCATTCCCACCAACAATGGACGAGAGTCCCTTTCTCCCCACATCTGCACCAGAACTGTTCTCACACTTTTTTATGATTGCAAGCCTCTGTAGTGTAAGATGATATCTCATTGTTGTTTTTATTAGCATATCCCTGATGATTAATGACGTAGAGCAATTTTTCATGTGCCTTTTTGCTATTTGTATTTCTTCTCTGAGAAAGTTTCTGTTCATTTCTTCTCCCCATTTTTTGGTGGTGTTGGAGGTTTTTTCTTATAAAGTTCTACCAATGCCTTATATATCTTGGATATTAATGCCTTATCTGATGGGTATTGGGTAAATAATTTTCCCATTCTTTGGACTATCTCTGTATTTTTGTCACAGTTTCTTTTGAGGTGCAGAAGCTTCTTAGCTTAATGTACTCCCATTTGTTTATCTTTGCTTACACTTGCTAGGTCAGTGGTATTTCATCTTTAAAGATCTCTTTAACTTCAATATCATGGAGGGTTCTGCCTATGTTTCTCTCCATGTACCTTATGGATCTTGAGGTCTTTAATTCATTCTAATTTGACTTTGTGCCTGGCATTTTTTGGATGTAGTTGCCCAGTTTTCCCAGCACCAATTGTGGAAGAGGTTTTCCTTGAACAAGGACAAGACAAACGATCCATGATTGGAAGCCTGCCTCAAGAACTGAGGAGAAGTCAGCTGGGGTATAGATGGGACAATTAGGAGAACTATGGTTTAAAAGAATCGCTCTCAATAAGAGATATGCTGAAAGTGGGTAAAAGACTAAACAAGATGGCCCCTCAGTATTGCAAACCATAATGCTCAAAAGGAGAGAGAGCAAGAGAAAGGAAGAGGAAGAGGAGGAGGAAGAGAAAGAGGAGGAGAAGGAAGAAGAAGAAGAAGA